TTTATCCTAAACCTTACAGTAGAAAATACAGTACTAACAGCATAAAAAGTAAAGTAAAACATGAAATACCAAAATAAAACAATAAAATAAAGTCATTACAAAAATGTGATGTTGATATTCAGTAGTAAAGTTCGACTTACATCCATTTCGACTTACGACCGGTTTCTCAGAACCAAACTCGGTCGTAAGTCGGATGGTAGGTGTATTCTATTTGTTTTAGTGCTTGCAACTGCTAAATAAATCACCATGGCTCCAAAGAATGCTTCCAGTGCCCAGCCCATTGGTGAAGAATGTGAGAAACATATAATTGAAGAAAAAGTTTGTAGAAAAATACGAAGGTGGTGGTGGTAGAGTGGAAGCAGTTGTGATAGTGGTAGAGGGTAGTAGTGATGGTGGTAGAGGGTAGTAGTGATGGTGGTAGAGGGTGCCTTCTTCAGTGATTCAGCAATTCTACCAACTCCTCCAATGTTGTTGAAGTTATATAGGGCTAGAGAAAACACCACCGCCTCAGCTGCTGCTTCGCCAATATTGTGGACGGCTTACTCTCAGTGGCCCTTGTATACTCAACAACAACACAATGCAACACCTCTCGTGACATACATAATGACTTAATTTATTCATTCTAGAGTATATTCCATGTTTCTATGTTATTAATATTGTTTATTATGTCATATTAGTTGAATTGTGATAGATAAATAAGCCTTAGAGTTGATATTAGCATCATATTCTCCAACAATAAACTCACAATGCCTCCCTCACACAAACAAGTCTTCAATAAAGGTAAGTGTGATGTTAAACAAGAACATAGGAACTTAAGAAATGAGGAACACTGTAACAGGCCTGCTGGCCATACTAGGCAGGCCCTTCACAAATCCAACCCACTAACAGAACAAATGCTACCCAAGCAATAAGCTCAGGTGCAAGTCCGACTCAAATCCAACCCCTCTCGCTCATGTATTTATCCAACCTAAATTTGAAACTACCAAGCCATAGCTTTTAGAACGTAAGAAAGGAGGAACACTGCAATAGGCCTGTTGGCCCATGCTAGGCTAGTCGTTCACAAATCCAACCCACTAACAGCATAACTGCTACCCAAACAATAAGCTTTGATAAACCTATTTACTCATGTGCAAGCATGATTCAAATCCAACCCCTCTCACTCATGTATTTATCCAACCTAAATTTGAAACTACCCAATATATTAGCTTCAATCACCCTACTAGGCAGACCATTCCACTCATCAACTACCCCTATTACCACTGTTCATTTATACATTTTATTTGTACTTTACATTTATTTTGCATTCTTTTCTGCATGTAAATCTATATTTAAGCTAGGGAAGTGACCCCCTGAAGTGACATAGAGTCCTTATGGAGGGAGATTCCCCTTCCAAACAATAACCTCTCTTCCCTTTCTCCTTCTCCCTGTCTTCCATTCATCAACAACAGCCTTCAATAAACGTAACTGTCATGTTGAATGTTCATTCTTTTGTGCATGTAAATCTATCTTTAAGGTAAAAAAAAAATTGTTGTTGATATTTCTGGGTGTCTGAAACGAATTAATTGGATTTACATTATTTCTTATGGGGAAAATGGATTCGAAAATCGTCAATTTCGATAATAGTCATACTTCCAGGAATGGATTAATTACGAAAAACGAGGGATCACTGTACATTGTTATTAATTTAGGGACCTGGAGCACAGATCCAGTTCTCTAGATCAAGAGCCCCTCACCACATATGTACTACTACTACTACTAATAATAATAATAACTATTTATTTATTTATTTATTTGAACATGATACACTGAAGTACAAGGAAATACAGTGGTTAAGTGTAACATGCCAAAGCCCCTTGTATGCAGAGCATTATGGGCAGGCTTAAAATTAACTTAAGATTAACTAAGCAATGATATATTCAGTGGTAAACATTGTTGTAAACAGTTAACAATTAAGCACAAATTAGTATTTCAAAGACAGGTCATATGGTCATTTACTGTGTTGCTGTGCATTCAGTAGAATGGAGTATTCTGTTAGATAATGTAATTAACAATAATAAAGTTTGATTTGGGTTACAGGTTAAACATTTATGAGATACAATTATTCAGTATTTATTTGGTTGTGGGTGAGTAAGTGATTTTTAAGAAGAGACTTGAATTTATAAACAGACAGTGTTTCTTTTATATTCACAGGTAGTGAATTCCAGATTTTTGGGCCTTTTATGTGCATTGAGTTTTTGCATAGTGTGAGATGGACATGAGGAATATCAAAGAGTGATCTGTGCCTTGTGTTATGGTCATGTGTTCTGTTGAGGTTGGTAAGGAGACATTTGAGGGGAGGGTTTATATCCGAGTTAAGTGTTCTATGTATGTAGTAGGTACAATAATAGGTATGGATGTTTTGTATGGTGAGTAGGTTTACAGTTTTGAATATTGGTGGAGTGTGCTGCCTGTAGTGGGAATTTGTTATCATTCTGACTGCAACCTTTTGTTGGGTAATCAATGGTCTGAGATGGTTTATTGTTGTTGAGCCCCATGCACAAATTCCATAGGTGAGATAGGGGTAAATAAGTGAGTGATATAGGGCCAAGAGGGCTGACTGTGGAACATAGTACTGTATCTTCGATAGTAGGCCTACGGTCTTGGAAATTTGTTGTATATGTGTTTGAAATTTGAGTCTGTTATCAAGGTGGATTCCTAAGAATTTTTCCTCTGTGAGCTTTGTGATAGGTGATCCGTTTATCATTATGTTAAGGGGGACATCAGTAGCTCTGTTACCAAACTGAATGAAGTAGGTTTTGTCAATGTTGAGAGTAAGTTTGTTAGTTCTCATCCAGGTAGATATTTTCTGTAATTCGGTATTCACAGTATTGGCTAGCATGACTGGGCTCGGATGAGAGAAGACGTATGTAGTGTCATCTGCAAATAGTATGGGTTTGAGTAGTTGCGATGAATTTGGTAGGTCGTTTATGTAAACGAGAAAGAGAAGAGGGCCAAGGACACTTCCCTGTGGGACACCAACTGTAATTGGCTGTGCAGAAGAGTTTGCTCCATTTGTGTACACATATTGGCTTCTGTTGCTGAGGTATGACTTTAGGTAGTTGAGGGAGTGCCCTTTTATACCATAGTGCGACAATTTTATGTGGAGCAAGTCGTGGTCAACTGTATCAAAAGCTTTACATAAATCAATGAAGATTCCCAGTGGGACTTCTTTTTTCTCTAGTGCAGTGTATATTTGTTCTAGCATGTGTATAATAGCATCATTCATATTTTTATTAGGCCTGAACCCAAACTGACAGGAGTTGAGTATGTTGTGGGAGATGAGACAGGAATAGATTCGCTTATGAATTAATTTTTCGAAGATTTTAGAGAGAGGATGTAAGTTGGATATTGGCCTATAGTTATTCAAGTCTGTTTGGTCTCCTCCTTTATGGATCAGGGTGACCCTTGCTATTTTGAGAACTGTAGGGAAGGTAGAGGATTCGACAGATTTGTTAAAGAGTGTTGCAATGATTGGTGACAGCACTTGCGACACTTTTTTGTATATAAAAGGTGGTAAGATAGTTAAATCTCCTGGCTTGTTTTTTAGTGTGTTGATAATAAGGGAGACTTCTGTTGGGTTAGTCGGAGCTAGGAACAGTGTGTTCGGGTATTTGCCAGTGAGGTAGTCATTGGGTGGGGTATTTGAGCTTGGGATTTTATTGGCAAGGTTTTTTCCTATGGTGGAGAAGAAATCATTGAGTCTGTTTGCTGTTTCAGTTGGTGGGAGTTGGGGTTCATCTGGCTTTGTTAGTTCAATTGCGCCCTTTCGTGACATCTTTTTTGTTCCTAGAATTTCTGATAGGGTTTTCCAGATCTTTTTTATATCACCTTTTAAGTTGGATAATCTGTTCTCATAATACAATTTTTTTTGCCCTTATCAGGCTGGTTAGGATTGATGAGTAATGTTTTGTTTGGTCTCTGGTTATGTGACCCATTCTGTATAATACAAATATAATAATAATAATATTAATAATAATAATAATAATAATAATAATAATAATATTATTATTAATAATAATAATAATAATAATATAAATAATAATAATAATAACAGTAAGGAGAAACTTCAAAAGGCTGCCAGTAGTTGGTGCCCCCGTCAGCAAAACAATGGTAACCACTACTAGTACACTTTTCACCTGTTTAGACTTAAGTAGTCTATTAGTATTACGTTAAGTCTGCCCAAAATGCCTCAGCATTGTTAGTGGCTTTCTTTGCTCCAATCATATTATATGTAAACACATATTGTAACCTTTGCAAAGAAATAAATATTTTATTTATTAACTTATTTAAGGAACCTCCCTGGAGGGGGAAGTTTGCATCCTGAAATTTCCTTCGTATCCAGAAGCAAAAAATCGACCGAACGACAGTTCATATCCTGAAAAATTTGCATGGTGGGGCGTTCGTAAGCTGAGGTTCCACTGTAATTGGGAAAATTGGGAATTCACGAAATTGGGAAATAATGAATTACATAAGCAGTTGTTTACATCTTTATTTCTTCTGAAGATGTACTTGTAAATGTACCAAAGAATTCAGATGGTTCTGTGCAGTTAATGTTTTGAATTTTTTTTTTCTCATATTTTTAGTCAAACATTTTCCAGTGATTTCTTCCCTTACATAGTAATCTTTATACAAAACCCATTTTATGCTCAGTGCTTCAAGTAGAACTTGAACTAACACATCTATTCAGACTGTTAATTTCATCACTTGGCCTCCTTATGTTCTGATGTGAGTTTCTGGTACTGAGGCATAACTCTTAACTCTGTTAATTCGTCTCATAACACTTAGTCTTTCATTTTCCACATACTACAGACGTGATAGTATGTTAAACTTTTATGATAGTTCGACATTTGAGCTTATATTAGCCTCCCACCTCAAAGGAATGCCTTCACTATTTTTATCTTTTCTCTATGAATGTTTTCCAAGGATGATCGTGGGTTGTCACATTACCATAACACTTTGTAAATTGGTTCATCTTCATGGTACTCTACAATATTTTTAGTAAACTAATTTTCCAGCCATCTGTTGTGGACAAACTGTTTGTGCTGGACGTATCACCTTTAAGTATTTCAAAGGATATATCAACTCTGCCACGATTTTTAGAAATTATGCAAAGAATAGAGGTACCGATGCACCTTACTATGCAGGAAGCACGAAAATACACTGATGAAATTCTGAGGCCTGCTGTTCCAGTGAGTATGATGCTGTAATATTTTTACTTGTTTAACTTTTTATGTGAAATTTTATATATGCGGATAACAGTTCAAAGATAAAATTTTATTTTCATGTCATGATTATATCAGTGCCAGTCTACAGTACAATATTTTGATCATAATACAGTATTATTAGTACAGTGTTTTAAAAACAAGTATTGAAACATTGTGATTCATACAGATTTAGATCGTGCAATTTTTTTTGAATTTTGCATAACCATTACGTATTTTAATGTACCAGTCATTGTTAATAATAATAGTAATGGTAATAATAATAATAAAAAAATAAGTCACAATGCTGATGTTAGAACTATTCAAGACTAATTCACAATTTGAAGAGGACGCTTTGAACGTGTTTCCTGGATCATTATTAAGTTTCAAGCAAGAGCAAAGAGGTAGAGAAAACCAGACGATAAGTCAGGTGAAGAGGTGGGGAGGCAGCCAAAATCAGGTCAAGTCTGTGATTACAGCATTTGACAGTGTACTGGGAAGACGAGTATAAACAGAAATATTACCAGGGCAAAGATTTATGCAAAGAATTTTGTATATATGGGCTATTTCAACAAGACGGCATCTGTGAAGGCTAAAATAAAGTTAGATATTACTGGCAGACAATTAACTTATGGTGGGTATGGCTATGATCTAAGAAATAATAGAACATAGGTGGAGCAACTTTTCATCTGTTCTTAAAGTCTATCAGAAATGAAATGGTAAGTTTCATGAATATATTGGAAAGTGAAAGATGAGCAAGAGAGACTAAAACTGCCTTTAAAATAAAAAAAAAATCTTATCTATTGACACAGAAATTTTTGTAAATCATCAAGAAATATTAATATTTAATTTTCATTTAAATTAACTTATCAACGCTTGAGATGAGTTCCAAGACCTGTGGATACTGAAACCACGGATAACAGCGAACCCTATACAGTGGATCCCCCGGTATACGATAGCATCGGTATATGTTAAATCTGGTATACGATTCATTTCAACGCAAAAATTTTGCCTCGCCACTCGTTAAAAAACCCGCCACACGTGATTCGTCTGGGACACATCCACATGTGGCCTGAACTGCCCCGTGCATGCCAGTGTTTACAAGCCAGCCAGTGTGCTCGCATCTAAGCATACATTCGGTACATTCCATATTATCACAGTGTTTTTGGCGCTTGTTTCTGCAAAATAAGTCACCATGGGCCCCAAGAAAGCTTCTAGTGCCAACCCTTCGAGAAAAAGGGTGCTAATGACTATTGAAATGAAGAAAGAGATAATTGCAAAGTACGAAAGTGGAGTGCGTATGTCGGAGCTGGCCAAGTTGTATACAAAACCCCAATCAACCATCGCTACTATAATGGCCAGGAAGGAGGATTCCCCTTCTAAACATTAACAACTTCGACACTCTCCCCTCCTCCCATCCCATCAATCATCACCAGATCTTCATTAAAGGTAAGTGTCATGTATTCTATTGTTAGTAGAGTAATACAAACTGTGCATGTCTTCTTTAGTTTGTGTGCATTAAACTTAATATTTCATGTGGTAAAACTTTTTTTTTCCATACTTTTGGGTGTCTTGCACGGATTAATTTGATTTCCATTATTTCTTATGGGGAAAATTAATTCGCCTTCCGATAATTTTGGCATATGATGAGCTCTCAGGAACGGATTAATATCGTATACCGGGGATCCACTGTATGTCATTTTTTGTTTACGTACATACCTATGATGTTTGGAGGGGTATAGGGATGGATGCTGGAAGCAACAATGTGGTGTGATGGTGACCATGTGGGTGGTAGTGTGGAGATGGGAGACTGAGTGGGTGAGTGTGCAGTTGGTGTGGACAGTAATTAGGGTGGCTGGTGGCTCAATGGCATGTTTGGGTGTGTGGACCATGAAAACATGGGTAAGGTGGGGGCATGGTGGTGTGGGAGTGGGGCAGTGAGGGCTAGAATCTGTGGGGGGAGAGGTGAGTGAAATCATGAGTAAGGTGTGGGCTTGAAGCTGTCAGGGAGTGATATGGGTGAAAGGTGTGCATGTCTTTGGCTTGGTGTGGGTGGTGATTGGATGATGGGTGGCAGGGCAGGCAGTTATACAGCTGGTGGTAATGAGCATGGTGGGTAACTAAGTGATTGGATATGGGGACAGCATGTTAGGGTGAAAGGTCAGGTAAGGTGTGCAAGTAAGGTCATAGGGGATATGTGGCCATGAGGAAATGGTGGTTGTGGGGGAAATGTTATAGGTGTGAGCCTGTGGCCATGGGGAGAATTGTATCTACAGATTGTGTGGGGGTAGGTTGTTGGTCGGGATGGTGTGGGTGAAGGTATGAGATTTACACTAAATATTGCCAGATTGCTGATCTGTTTTTTGGTAACCTTAACTCATTATCCAAATATTTTTGATGGTTTTCATACCCACCCAAGCTCGGCTACCTCTCCTTAATTATAAAATATCTTAGCCTATTGTGGGTACTCACCAGCTTCACAGTTCTTTGTTGTTGCTGTGATGATATGATGCGACAATGATACAGTGCCTATGATGATGAAATGAAATGAGGTGATGGTGTAGGCATTGTGATGTGTTAAGTGATTGATTTGTGAGGAAGTGATGCAAAGAGGAGTAGAATTGGTGGAAAATATGTAGGTGAAAAATCAGTGTTGTATACTAGGGAGAGATTGAGGAAAGGTAGGAATCATGGTTTTACAATCCCATGAAGGGAATTTATAATAGCCTTTACCGTTTGCTTTATTTATTTTAGAATACCCCAAAATAAATTAAGAATTTTGGGGGATGCAGAATAATGATATTTCATTCAATTCCTTCTATACAGTTCGTCTTTAACCTTGTTCATGTAAAGTCAACTATAATGTCCTAAATGTTAACAGTTTGGCACAAATTTTACCAAAGTCTTGCCATATCAAAAATCATTATTTTTATTTTTATTATTTTTTTATTTTTATTATTTTTTATTATTTTTAACTTAAAATAACAAATACGGTAGGGCCCCGCTTTATAGTGTTCCGCTAATACAGCGATGTCAAATTATGACCAAAATTTGCTATACGGCAAGCAGTCTTTGAAATGCGGCGTGCCCCACCCGGTTTGTTTACATTATCCGTGACCACATTTGTTATGTCTGGAAAGTTTCCAAAATTTCAAGTGTTTTTTAGTTATTGCGTATTTTATGTGTACTCTGATAATTATACTTATGTGTATATGTACCTAAATATACTTACACACTGTGCTGGTGTGCAGGTACACATTAAAATCGCAAAGAGTCTCTCTCTACTCGTGATGCCAATAGTACATAATAATCACTCTTGGGCACATTAAATGTCTTATTTTACATTGATATAGACATTTTCATTAATCCATCTATGATATTTTCCTCAAAATTATATAAGAAACACGTTACATAGCATATAAACATGATACATACACTCACAGAATAAAAATTTATGTAAATATGAGATTTGTTTACAAAGTGGCTGTGTAGGTAGTGTCGGAAGAATTACGTTTTCTCTAGTCAAACACTAGGGGACACCTGTAGAAAAATATTCCTTTCGTATGCTTTCACTCTATATATAGCAATTCACGACCCTTGTGGGTTTAGCGCTTTTTTATTATGATGATGATAATATCATCTTCACTCTAAAAATGATATGTTGCATGAGAATGGGAGTGTTGCTGTTTGTTTATTCTGTACTAACTTGTACAACTTGTAGACATTGTAAGAGTATTTGTATTGTGAGGTAATTATTATTATAATGAAAAAATATTGTGAGGTAAAAGTTTTATAAACTCTTACAAATGTACATGAAGGAACTAAAAGCAGACACATATTAATATGCATTTATTTCGCCTGACAAAGTGATCACCCACTACCTGTTCAGTTTGTGTTCTTACAATGTCTGAACTCTGTATCTCGTTCTCTCTCTCTCGTTTACTCTTTCGTTAACTAGTTAGCTCTCATTGACGATGGCGTCTAAGCTTAGCTGTGAGAAAAAGAGGAGTCGTAAGCCTCTTGCTTTAAGTGCTAAGTTAGAGGATGATAGTGTGCCATTCTGATTTTATTCAATAAACACCCTGCCACTTTGCTCTCACACGTTTATATTAATATTTTAACCCTTTCAGGGTTCAGAGGCTAAATTTCAAAGGGTGCACCAGTGTCCAAGAATTTTAAAAAAAAAAAATTTTATTAGTTTTTCTTATGAAATGGTAGAGAATCTTTTTCTGAAAGTAATAAAACAAAAAGTATGAAATTTGATGGAAAATTGACGAAATTATGCTCTCGCGAATTTTGATGTGTCAACGATATTTACGAATCGGCGATTTTGCCAACTTTGACTCCCATTTTAGGTGAATTACATTATGCCAGTCGACCAAATTCTTAGCTATTTCACTAGTATTACTTCTATTCTATCAACTGAGCACAAGAAATCGCCCGGTCAATTGTTTCAAATACAGAATAAAGTGATCGGAAATTGGTAACTTGGCCAATTTCAAAATAGGGTCCAGAATAAACAATGCAGGAATTCCTGGCACTAAACTAATATTTCCTCTGCTCATTAGTTATGTTTTCAGGCTTTACAAATGAATTCCATTTTGATTTTTTATTCACATGATGAATTTTTATTCAAACCAAAAAATAGAAGATTTACTGTTATGCAATATTGTAATAATTGTATAAATATCATCATCACATTTGTAAATGTATATTAGACCCACCAGCTGGCATGTATTAGATGTGTGAGGTCATTTGTTTACTCTTGAAAATCGACAAAAATTTAACATTTCCGCTACTTTGAGCTCAGTTTCAAGCCATTTCCAGTACTAAAACCAATCAAAATCATCTCTGCTTCTGTAATATATCTTCCATTCTATCAAATGAGACCAAGAAATCGCAAATACAACTATTTATTTATTTATTTATTTATTTATTTCCAATTTGAGCACACATACAGAGGTACAAAAAAATACAGATAAGAGCAG